CCTATTCGTCGTTACGCTGACGTTCTTGTTCATCGTATGCTTGAAGCCGCATTATCTGGTGGTATGAAAAACTCTTTATATAACATTTTAGGTTTAAATGCTAGTGTTAATTATGAAATTCTTAACGAATGACTTATATTTCGTTTTTAGAGAAACGTTTCTATCTTGATAAGGATGCTGTTCAAAAGACGGCTAATCATTGCAATGTCAAGAAGGATGCCGCAAAAAACGCACAAGAACAAAGCAGTCATCTTTTCCTTTGTGTTCTCCTTCATAACTTGGCTGTACAATCTGGTCCTGTAATTCGTGAAGCTGTTGTCATTGGTGTTAAAGACCATGCATTTGATGTTTTAGTGCCCGTGTTTGGAATTGAGAAGCGTGTTCATTTAGATCAACTTCCATTAGAAAAATTCATTTTTAATAATGAAACAGGGGAATTAGCCTTGCATTGGAAACAGGGAGTTAGTTCTCTAGAACCGATTCCCGAAGATGATGGATTTGGAGAAGATGAAGAAGATGGATTGGATGTTGACGAAGATGCTTTACTTGCGGATGTCAATGACGACTATCACTATGAATTGATGGATGTCACAAGTCTCCCGATTGAAGATGAGCATCGACTATTTGATGCCAACTCGGATATTGGAGATGATGATATTGAAGATGACGAGTTTCAAGGATCCGGTGATGAGGAGAACGATAGCAATGATGATACAGCAATTGTTGTTGTACCTTCAATGTCTTCTAGTGAATCACCCAAAATGGACATTTCCTCAACTGAAACTCCATCACTTAATCAAACAGCCTCTACAAAAAGTTCTCTACCTGTTGTAAAAACTACAGAGTTGTCACAGTTGCCCATAGTTTCTGATCCTGCCATTCCCAATTCTCAAATTATTAAAGAGCTTTGCCGTCTTCAAGTCGTTATCACTGCGGATTGTAAAAAGAGCCCACCCGTTATTAAAGTTTTGGCCGTTAACCCTTATGCATAGTAGAACTTGATGATATTAATTATAGTATAACAGTAAATCGAAAATGATTTGAACAGATATCAAATTTATCAACCAAACGTATCTGGTATTTTTTGGCCGGTCTAAATAGAATTTGCATTTGCTTTTATTTTCAATCGAAATTTAAACGTTTTACATAGA